AAACAGCTCTGATGGATGTAAGAAATGGTGGTGTGGATCTGTTGCCTGGAGAAAGACTTCTCGACCTTGAGTATGCGGATGATATTGTCTTACTGTGCGAGAATGCCCAAGCTATGCAATCCGCACTTAATCAGTTGGCAATCAGTGTCCGTAGGTATGGTATGTGCTTTGCACCTTCGAAGTGCAAAGTACTTCTACAAGACTGGCAGGATTCTAATCCTGTACTCACTCTGGATGGTGAGCAGATAGAAGTAGTCGAGAAGTTCGTGTATCTAGGTAGCTGCATAAGTGCTGGTGGTGGTGTGAGTGGTGTGATCAATGTACGTATAGTGAAAGCCAGAGCGGCTTATGCCAATCTGGGCCATCTTTGGCGCCTTCGTGATGTTAGTCTGGCTGTAAAAGGTCGGATCTACAACGCGTCGGTGAGAGCAGTTTTGCTCTATGCTTGTGAAACCTGGCCTCTCCGAGTTGAGGATGTTATACGACTCTCTGTGTTCGATCATCGCTGTCTCCGAAGGATTGCTGGCATCCAGTGGCAACACCATGTTAGTAATGAAGAGGTTCGGCATCGAGTGTTCGGTCACAGAGACGATAATGCAATTGGTGTCACCATCTTGAAACACCGACTTCGGTGGCTTGGACATGTTCTACGAATGTCGTCCCAGAGAATTCCTCGTCGTGCATTATTTGCCGACCCTGAGACTGGTTGGAAAAAGCGGAGAGGTGGTCAGTATATGACATGGTGTCGTGGTATGAAAGAAAGCTACAAAGGGCTAGCTTCTGTCGGCCCTTCACGACTCCTTGGCTGGGGTCCGAGAGACGTGTAACACAGTGGCTAGAGACGTTATCAGATATGGCTCAGAATAGAAGCCAGTGGCGATCCTGCTGTAACCTTCTATTACTTTCTTCATAAAAAGTGGTTCCTCCTTCCTTAACTGAAAGATTTCTTCTGACTGTACTGTCCCGTTTCCCCCATTATTGTTCTCTTTTTTTTATAATTCTCTACGTTCATTACTTTTTTTTCTCCTCTTTAAATTCTCATTGTTTTGTATGGCGCATGTATATATGGTGCCCCCTTGTACCAATATTTATGTGTTCAAATAAATAAATAAATAAATAGAATGGCAAGTTAATGTAAGTCCTCCAACTCTTTGCGAGGTTGAAGAAGCTATAGGAAATCTGAAGCGTGGGGGAGCAGCAGGTCCTGACGGGTTTACCCCTTAGACTTTTAAGGATGGCGGTACAGTATTAGCAGCGAGATTGAATGAGGTCTTAGGTAGAATCTGGGAATTGGACGTAATTCCATCTGACTGGTCTCAATCACTGATTGTGCCAGTCTATAGAAAAGGACAAAAGTCCTCGTGAAGATCACAGAGGAATCAGTTTGATTAATATAGTGTTTACAATATTAGGTTCACTATTACTTTGACGCCTAACCAAAGCTCGTGAAGAGCAGACTAGAGAAAACCAGGTTGGTTTTCGACCTGGACTTAGTTGTATAGACCAGATATTCACACTACGTCAGGTCCTAGAATATAGACACACATTTAGACGCTCACCAATCGTAGTATTTCCCGACCTTAAGGTGGCGTTTGATTCTGTTGATCCTGAGGTTCAGTGGCAGTGTTTGTCAGTGAAAGGAGTACCAAAGAAGTACATTAACCTTATAAAGGCTCTCTACTCGGACACAACTGGTCGAGTGAGTGGAAGGGTTCTTCCGGAGGTACCTGAAAAGGAAATTGGATTACAGGTTGTCTTAGTTACTCGAGAGCGTGACAGTAGTGCCCAAGGGACAACTGCTTAAGGTCGGTCACACACGACTTTTCTATAAGTCATTTTTGTATTAGCTCCGTACTTGTTGAGACCTTGCCGCCGGAGACGGATATCCGTGGGATAAGGCGAGGTGTGCATTTTAAGGGTAGACCTTTTCTAACCCCACTCCTCCTTAAGGAAAGACAGCATAGCCGTCATGTTGGTTGTCTGAAGGAAACACCTTACTGCAGTCACACCTCTGTACAGTCAGCAGTACGAATTCGCCTTCGGACATTGGGTTTGTTGCTTTTAGTCTTACGGCTCTTTAACCGACCTGTCTGGCATGGTAGGACCTTGAGGGACGGTTGTTCCAGCCAGTATAGCTCGGTTGCTTCATTACGATAGGCAAGCCCGACCACCACGTCAAGGTAGCAGCAACAATCGGGAGTGAAGTAGTCGGACGCGATGACAACTTCACTTATCTTGGAAGTCTGATCAGCCCTAATGGGTTGGTGTCTGACGAAATCTCAGCACGGATTCGAAAAGCTCGTTTGGTTTTCGCCAACTTGCGTCACCTATAGCGAAGGAGAGATATCTGTTTATCAATAAAAGAACGAGTATACTGCACAGCAGTTCGTTCTGCTTTACTTTACGGCTGCGAAACGTGGCCATTAAAAGTAGGAAATACTCGTAAGCTACTAGTATTTAACCACAGATGCCTTAGAAATAGTGCTCGCATCTGCTGGGATCACCGGATAAGTAATAGTGAAGTTAGATGCAGGGTATTTGGGAATGATGGTAAATCAGTTGATGAGGTTGTGAATCTTCATCGACTGAGATGGTTGGGCCACGTGTTGTTATTTATTTTATTTTAACACATAAGTATACGTACAGGGAGGCACCAAATACATATGCGCCAAACAAATCTCAATTGATTTGTATGAGGGCTGTGATACTGCCCGGGTGCCCAAACCGAAGCAGGTGGTTTTCTTAGGGGGCCACACCCCGAGCCTTTGACCTGAACGTCTGACCCACAAGGCAGTGGAGCATCGTAAGGAGATGCAGTCCCATGGTAGCCGGTAACCAACGATTGGTTCATACGCCATTTGTTCCCGCAGGATACTGGAGCCCATGTGCACCATTGGTTTCGGGTCCGGTTAAAGCGCCAGGCATTCGCTTTTCGTCCTCTCATTTTTGTAAACAACACCCCCGCCACGAGAAGGCAGTGAGTAGGACTTCCCTGGCAGAGGCTATATATACGCATGGTCATGTGAGAGCATTTCGAGAGGGAGAGCGGACTCTCCCCACTCTCGGCCGTACCAGGGCCACGTGTTGCCTATGTCTGAACACCGATTACCACGACACACAATGCTGACTAGTGTCGGGGATGGTTAGAAGAAAATTAGGGGCAGCCAAACCAAAACTTGGCATCAGTACTTGAAGTCGCTAACTTCTGGTCTGAGCCATGTCGGTAGATGCAGACTACTTGGTTGGGGTCCGCGTGACTATTGTAACCAATGGTTGGAGACTCTTGGTGACATGGTTCAGAATCGATCACAATGGCGTAGGTGTATACACTCTCTGTCTTCCCTTTATTATTATTTGAATACATAAATACTGGTACAAGAGAGCACCAAATATATATTCGCCACACAAAATTTTATTTGTGTGTGGGCTGTGATACTTCCCGTGTGCCCAGACCGAAGCAGTTGGTTGTCTTAGGGGGTCACACCCCGAGCCTTTGACCTGAGGGTCTGGTCCACAACGCAGTGGAGCATCGTGAGGAGATGCAGTCCCATGGTAGCCGGTGACCAACGATTAGTTCATACGCCATTTGTTCTTTCAGGATACTGGAGCCCATGCGCATATCTTTCTTTCTACGTCCCAAATCTTTCTCCCTGTACTATATCCTTTTATGCAATCCTTCTGTTATATATTACCGTCATTGACTTAACTACTCCTATGAATACGGTGTTCATCTTGCTATGCTAATGAGGTATGGCAACTTGGATCGATGCATACATGTGCCTGGTCCTACGTTGTAGCTGACATCAGACTCAAAGATGTCTTCAGGGACACTATTTTTCTCATCAATAATGATTTATATGCGGTGAAATAGTATAAATTTCATCAGATGTAGTTGCTGTCCCAGACTTTTAAGCACTATCTGAACATCAAATTTTCTATTTCTCGTGTAAGATTTGTGGGATCTCAGACATATATTATTTCACCGCATATAAATCATTATTGATAAGAAAAATAGTGTCCTTGAGGACATCTTTGAATCTGATGTCAACTACAACGTAGGACCAGGCATATATATGCATCGATCCAAGTTGCCACACCTCATTAGCACAACAAGATGATCGTCAAATTCATAGAAACATTTACTTCAATGGTAGTAAAACAGATTTCATATAAGGATTTGATATAGGGAAAAAGAATTAGTTCGTAGAAAGAAGGGTATAAAATAATTTTAATCTCACGGTTTAAGGGAAGACAAGGAGTGTATACACCTACGCCATTGTGATAGATTCTCAGCCGTGTCACCCAGTTTCAAGCCATTGGTTACGATAGTCGCGTGGACCCCAACTAAGTAGTCTTTACCTACCATAATGGCTGACACCAGATATTAGTGACTTTATGAACTGATGCCGTTTTGGCTTTGTCGCCCCCAACTTTCTTCCAACCGTCCCCAACACCGTGGCAATCGGTGTTCAGGCATACGTAACACGTATCCCAACCACCTCAGTCAATGAAGATTCACAACCTCACCAACGGATTTACCATCATCCCTTAATACTATGTGTCTAACCTCACAATTACTTACTCGGTGATCCCAAAAGATGTGATCAGATACTAGTATCACAATTATTTTATTATAACACTTAGTTAGGCAAAAAGGAGGAACCCTCTAAACACCTTAGTGATTCATGAATGCCACTCCATAAAGCTCTTGAAACAAACCAGAAAAGTCTAGATGTTTTAACTATCTTTATCCACAACAATATTCCCTTCTTTACATATGTTGCTGGAGAATGAAGTTACAGATTGCTCCAGTCACTACCCTTATGGAAAAGGAGTTAGTTAGAGCTGAAGGATGATTTGATGTTTACTAGGAGAATGAATTTGATATCTGAGGATTAGTAATGTTACATATTATTTGATTGTTCAAAAATAACACCTAGGATTATACAAGTATTCGTTCACACCGTTAGTTGCGCAAACAATGATAGTCAACGACTTACACCAGCTCCTTAGTATATCGAAACTCATCCAATTCCGCTAAAGAAGATTCATACAACTTCTGAGGATGTTCGCACATGTACTTAGCAATGAAGCGAGTAATAGGGTGCTGAAAATGAGTAAATGAATAAAATAACCCACTTTGTGATACTCCCAATAACGCGGTTCATAGTCCTCTGGTATGTCCGTCAACTCCGCTGGCCCAATAAATAAGTTGACAAAAAATATTAGAAGCAATGAAGGAACAAGACCCAACATAATATAGAAGTGCTAATTATATTTAACAGTGATGTAAGTTACCTACCACATTATCAAAGAATACACGTGACATGTAATCCGAAACCCTTTTAGGCATTGTTCTCTCATGACTTGCGTATCTAGAAACTACTGTGGGAACTAACATACAAATAACAAATAGGGACACTAACCAAGTGGTAAGGGTATAACTTTCCCGGGCGAAACGGCATATAAACGATGCTGTTTTATAAAAGTATGTGTTTGCGAATAAACAGGTTGAAGTCCAATATGTTTGGAAGAGAGCAAAACAGAATTTCGTAGAACGGTATACATGTTTGTGCAATCACCTTGATAAACCGAACCTCCCGCACCGTACGCGACAAAATTTGCTAATTCTTTACTAACCCAGATCGTATTTCATCGGGTCTCATGGATTTGCCTATATTAATCTCATTTAGTAGACTAAAAACATCGAGTTTCCCAATGGTCGCAGCGTCCAGTGTGTGTGGGGGGAGTGTTGTATAAACTGAAGCGCGCTTTCTAAAAGGACAGTGGTATTGTTCCTCGTTGAGTTACTTAACTGTTTTGATCGTAAATTACGCATCAAAACTACTGTATACACTTTAATTGAATCTACTCCAGTTAAAGTGATATTGTATCGAGTGTTTTGATTCTGCTTTTGTGTATTTATTGCATCAAAGCATACTAGGTCGACTTTTACTTGATAATTTAGTCAAGGTTTTAGTATTTTTTACTTATCTTCTTTGTATCGCCATTGTATTTAGTTTTAAAGATGGCCGAATCTGCTCATAAATGTGGACAACCATATTGCTTATTCCCCGTGGAGGAATGGATGTTATTTGACGAGTGTAATAAGTGTTTTCACAAGGTGTGCTCCCGACTAAGCTCCGCTGCATATAAAAGGTGCTCGAAGCCCAACTCTCATCGGCTTTGTAGTTTTTGTTGCTCGATCAAAACATCACTCATCCAGGAAGCAATTAGCCTCCTGGTGTTGACTAATAGGAAGGTTGATGAGAGCTGTACAGGCAACATTGGTACTGATGGAGAAGGTTGCGTTAGTGTCGTAAGTGCTGTCTCAACGCAAGTCAGACATCTAACTGTGCAACCCGAGATCAAATTTTTACCCCGAAACAATTAACGAGTGACACCTCATTAGTTATTGGTGGCCATGTTGCTACAGCAGCAACTGGTGATCCAGATAAAACAATTACTGTCACGAGCAGTTCTGATGCAAATGCTACGGCTGATGGAATATGGATGACGCGGAAACACAGAAGAGTAGGAACGACGGCTAAAAATAATGGTCGTTTATTTGATAAGTCTTTTGAGGACTCTCAAACCACTCCGCCAAAGTCCCAAAGTAAAGCTTCGTCAAACATTGTTGTGAGTCACTCGCTCGACTCCAATGACTCTGTCACAATAAAAACAAATCCTAAGATACCAGTAGTTAATATACAGAATGTAGGGTCACGATCGATAGCTGTAAACACGATTCCTAAAGAAACTAAACCACTCCCTAGTTTAATTATTTGGAATCTAGAGGAGTCGATAGACAACGACCCTGCTTAGAAACATGCACATGATCTGAAGTTAGTAGAATCCGTGGTAAGAAACGTACTACCTGAAGAGGTTTCAGGAGTACATATCACGAAAGTGATACGACTCGGTAAATGAGTTGGAGGCTAGACCCAACCAAGAAGGATCTTGAAGCTGGTTCTAGGGAGTTTTGAAGAAAGAGATATATTATTGAAAAACGCACAAAAAATTCGTGATTCAAATATTCGTATTCGACCACATTGGCCGCTTGAAGATCGAATCAAGTGGAAGAATGCTCTTACAGAGTTAAGAACTCGCAAGTTAAGTGGAGAAACTAACCTTACCATTAAGGGTTTTCGGGTAGCCAGGTCTTGGAAGCCAATGCTTCCGAGGCCTGTATGGGTAGAACGAATGATTACCAAAACACCTTAAGTGTGTGCTACACGAACGCTCGTAGTCTTATGAATAAAACGTCCGAGCTAAGTCTCATGGTGGATGAATTAAGTCCCGATATAATTGTCATTATAGAAACTTGGTTCACCGTAGATATAGAATGTTCTCCCATCATTGCAGGCTATATCTGTATTAGAAGTGATAGTTTTAAGCTGAAAGGGGGAGGCATAATGCTATACATTAGGGATCACTTTCGTATACAATCAATCATATCGGAGGCTCATGTTAGTGGTACATGTGAGGCAGCATGTTGTAAGATTAAATCTAGAAATGGGTTAGTGACTATAGGAGGAATATACCGTAGTCCGTGTTGTCTTGCTGACGACTTTATCCTAAGACACATCTGTTCTTGGAGTACGGCAGAATGTTGCCTCATCATTGGGGACTTCAACGCTCCGCACATAAACTGGATAGAGCTTACAGCTCCAGGTGGAGGTTTTGATAGCGAACTTTTATCAACAGTTATTCAGTGTGCACTTGTCCAATGTATCACTAAACCGACACATATTGATTTGAAACGTGATCCGTCACTGCTGGACATCGCCCTCACCCACCACTGTGAGGATGTCTTTGATATTCAGCACCTTCCTCCACTAGTGAACAGTGATTACGTTGTACTACACTTTAAGTTTAGGACACATGGTATACGATTTGTATCTGCTCCACCCCGTCCCAATATCTGGCGGGTTAATATTCCGGTAATCAGAGACTGTGCGATCTCTACTGATTGGTCGGTTGACGCAGATGGATCGATCGAAGACGAATGGATTAAGTTTAAGGCTACATTCGAGTCCGTAACATCGCCGTTTATACCATGGTCAGCACGTAAGCTATCGCATTGCCCTCCATGGATTACTAAGGAAACCCGGAAGCTGTTAAAGCGTAGGAAACACTTCTGGGACTTATTCTTGTTGACGGGTCATGCATATTTTAAGCGTGAGTACCAAAAACTCCGGAATATTTGTAAGAAAACAATAGCTAAATCCCGTACTACTTACGAACGACAGTTGGTATATGATAGCCGTACTTGTCCAAAACGATTGTTTTCGTATGTTAAACGGCAAATAAAACGTAGTGATAGTATTCCCCCATTATTGTTACACGATAATTCAGGTTTACTAGCTGAATCAGATCGAGCAAAAGCTGAGACATTTTCAAACTACTTTAGCGAAGTCTACTCTACGTTTATTGTAACAAATAATTGTCCCAATCACGCCGAGATACCAGCCATTGAATCTGTACAGGTGACTGAGGAAACTGTCCTTCCGTTGATAATTAACCTCAAACCTTGTAAGATACCGGGTCCTGACGGGTTACATCCACGACTGCTGTCATCTCTTGCGGACATTATTTCAAAACCGCTCGCGACACTCTTCAACATGTCCCTTTCACTCGCTCAACTACCTAGAGATTGGAAAGATGCTATTGTCAGTCCTATATTTAAGGATGGTCAGAGACAGATCGTATCTAACTACCGGGTTAGGTTGCTAAGCCATATAGATTCACACAATCTGTTAGCTCCTGAGCAACATGGATTTCGTGATAAGCGTTCATGCTTGATTAACTTACTTATTGCGAGAGAGGATTGGACAGCAGCCTTAGATAAAGGTCTGTCTGTCGATATTATATTCATAGATTTTAGCAAAGCATTTGACAATGTTTTCACACTTAGGTCTTATGCAGAAGCTCACAAGCTTCGGAATAATAGGTACTGTACATGAGTGGATAGGAAACTTCTTATGTGACCGCAGACAGAGAGTGAGGGTCAGTGGGACGCTATCCGATTGGAAGCCGGTCAAAAGTGGTGTACCCCAAGGCACCATATTAGGCCCTCTGCTATCCCTTCCCTACGTAAATGAGTTACCGCTGTCGCTTAGGTCGCCGACATTATTATTTGCGGATGATGTCAAAATATGGAGAGCAATAAGAGGTGAGGCTGATCATCTGGATCTTCAAGCTGACTTAGACGATTTAGTTAGATGGGCTCGAGATTGGGGTTTAGAAATCAATTCTAGGAAGAGTGTGCTAATGCACATCGGTCACGGCAATAGTTACTATTATACTATTGATGGTAAACCTCTTCCATGCGTTCAAGAACATAAAGACTTAGGAGTAATAATAAGTCATGATTTAAAAACAACTACGCACTGTAACGCAGCCGCTGTCAAAGGTTTTCGTGCGTTGTGTTCACTTCGCCGAGCGTTCAAATCCTTTGATGAGGAAATGTTTTGAATTTTATATCCCACCTATGTAAGACCACATTTAGAGTACTGTATTCAAGCAGCTAGCCCATGTCTAATAAAGGATACTACCTCACTTGAGCGTGTCCAGCGTGTGGGAACGAAATTATTGAAGGGTCTTTCTAAACTCCCTTGCGATGAGAGTTTAAAACGCCTAAACCTTTTCCCCTTGTCGTATCGTAGGACTCGAGGTGACCTTATACTTGCATTTCGTATCTTTAATTATGATTTAGGTGTTAATATGTCTTATCTTTTTGCTCCCTCCAGCACTAATAATCTCCGAGGTCATAGCAAGAAGGTTCACAAACCACGATCTAATAAACTCAAGGTGGGGTTCCGTTTTTCTCATCGAGTAGTCAATGATTGGAACGCTTTGCCCGATCAAGTGGTATCAGCCCCATCAGTAAATATTTTCAGGGAGAAACTGGACCTTCACTGGAAGGCAAGCTGTTAGGATTAACACAGGTTCACTAACCTATTATCCTTATTACTGAAGACTGAAGACTGAAGGGAAGGGAGTCTCTACTATATACACTGATATAAACCTTCCGCAAAGTGATTCCAGAAATATCATAAGGCATTGGCTGGTTGACTAGCTCTTTTATGAACTTCATGTCATGCTTCAAACGGATTTTGTGTTCTGAGCTTTCACTCTCATTGACTCTATGGAAGATAACTGACCAATCACTATGACTTGTCTTTAATTTCTCAGCTTCCGTTCAGGGAACTGCCACTTGTTTAGCAACATCGGGTCATTTCTTATTCTCCATGTGTACCCATTTATCAACATTCACTAGATCCTGGATGGTTATCAATAACTTAGGTAGTTAGGTTGTTGTTTTTTCTGCCAGAAACAGACCTAGCATTGAGATTAGGTTTTCCAGGCGTTTGCTGCTCGCTGCCATTCAGAGGGTGTGGGATGAAAGGAACCTTCTTTCTTGAGCTTTTTTTTCTGACAGACATATTTAAAGGTCATCCTTTCTCCATTGGCCCATGTAAGTCAATGGACTGTGAGTTTATTTAAAGTAACTTCACATCAATCTGTGTGTCGACCAAGCGAGCACCATTTGACGTGTCCCGATT